GGCCTTCTGGTGGTTCCCTCACTGTGAGAAGCGAAGTTTCAGGGAACCAGGCAGAGGGCCTTCTCGGTGGTGGCGCCCACCCTGTGGAACACCCTCCCACCAGATGTCAAGGAAATAAACAACTACCTTGACTTTTAGAAGACACCTGAAGGCAGCCCTGTTTAGGGAAGTGTTTGATGTTTGATGTTTTATTGTGTTTTTAATATTCTGTTGGGAGCTGCCCAGAGTGGCTGGGGAGGGCTGGCCAGATGGACGGGGTATAAGTAATAAATTATTATTATTATTATTATTATTATTATTATTATTAGCGAGAGAACTTCTAGCCTGTGATCACCTGGTCATGGATTGGGCAGGCAACGCTATCATCAGTGGCTACTGGTTGGGAATGGGTCCTACCCACACGAATTGGATCTTGCATTCATTGAACTGGTTTCTTTATTCACTTCTGCTCTGCATTGTACTGTGAGATGGTTCCTGCTATCTTGTGCATTGCTTTACCTTTGGGGCCCACTTTGTAAACCAATAAAAACCTCCATCTTCCTGCACTGGGAAATATAGATGTCTGCCTGAATTAGCTACCATGTCACACGTCAATGCCACAGTTAACGTGTCCATCTTCAGCGCACCCTAAATATTGTTGCACATCACCCCAACCTCTGAGTGGTGCGAGATTCCAGGGTTCATGTTTCTTTTTATAAACGAGGCATAGTGGAGACGGTGGTGTCTTTATGATATATGGTTTATTTACACATATATACAACCTAAGCCTACAATGGAGGGGTTCACAGCGTTAACACCCCAAAGGGGTTTTGTTTTCCCCATAGTTTCAGCCTTGACTTCAAACAGAAATCAAGCATCGCTCAGTATTCCCGCTGATCAGGGGTCAGCAAACTTTTTCAGCAGGGGGCTGGTCCACTGTCCCTCAGACCTTGTGGGGGGCCGGACTATATTTTGAAGAAAAAAATGATGCAAGAGCACCACTAGCCCCGGTGGTTGCTTACCTGTGCCTTGCAAGCAGCAGGGGCTGATGGCAGTGGCGGGACAATGAGCGGCGCACAAAAGAGCTTCGGAGAGGGGCTGCTTAAAATAGCAGCCGCTCGAGAGTGGCTGCTGCTGGCACCGACAAAGCCCTGCCCCCTTCCTCCTCTAGGCAGGGCAGGGAGAAGCCAGGAGGAGGGAGGGAGGAGGTGCCACCACCACCGCTGTGTGAGGGAGAGGGAGGGAGAGGGAAAGAACGCACGCATGCTGGCGATCCACGCGGCAATTCCCGGACCATCCGTGAGCCAGATCCAGAAGGCAATTGGGCCTGATCTGGCCCACAGGCCTTAGTTTGCCGACCCATGCCACTGATGATCCCTTTGATTTGTCAGCCTCTTGCCTTTTCTCTGTTGCCACTTTCATTTATTGGATCTCCAGTTTCACTCCACTCCTACACCCCAGTGGTCGCTGCTCCTGAAATCATTTGCTGCTGGTTATCTCTCACTTGCCCACCTCTGACTCTTCATCCATTTTTTTTTTATGCCCACAATCTCTCAAAAGCTCTGTTCTGCTTCCTTCCAGTCCCCACTTCTCCTTCCTGTGGTCTGATTGGCCTGCAATGGAACACTGATGTCCAGAAGTGCGCAGTGTAGTGGAAAATCCAGGGGTTGCTCCAGAAGGGTATAGCATCAGCTATGAGGTGCATCCCCACATAGTGAAGATACAACCTTTACCTTTCAAAAAAACAAAAACAGCAACCAGGAAGGCCATGAGCTTAAACGGAGATATGATGGCTCCTTTCTATCAGCAACCTTTCCAGTTGATGATTGTCTGTGTATTTTGCATTTAGAGGTGCATACCGAAACATAAAATGTCTCTGTGTTTCTCCAGCTATGCTGCAACGGAGGCAGGTGGAGCAGCTTCATTACTGCATTCCTCCATTTTCACTCTTCTGTGGATCAGTCTCTGGAGAACAGTTATGGAAATTACATTACCAACAATTGGGTTCTCCAAGATCCTTTAAAAAAAAAAAAAAAAAGCTCCTAAGTGCTCACAACAAATGCATTTTCTTGGAATGTTAAACGGTCTGCGGTTTTATGCTTTCCCTTTTAAGCTTTTAATGTTTTTCTGTAATATTTTGCCCAACACAAAATACTACTGTTGTCTTGTCATTGCTGACTACTGGGAGAGATTTAATTATCCAGAAAGGGATAATTAAAGTTGATTTAATGGTCCTTAGCTAAGAAAGAAGCCTCTTTTGGGCTATCCAAAGTCAAGGCAAGATGGCATTAACCGTTTCCTAGAAACAAAAAATGGTTCCGTGAAAAGTACGCCCCTGTTAAATAGAGGGGATTGGCACAACATGTTTATTCTCTGAGAGGCCAACACTGAGGACTCAGCTATACAGCTGCAAATAAAACATTTCAAGTGTGCTTTAAGTGCAATATGCAATGTGACACTAGATGGCGATGGTGAGCCTTATTGAAAATTCAGTGTATTTTTAAAAACACTTTAAAAAAAGCATTTACTGCATTTTCTCCCCACTTCTAATTATTAGATTTTTTTCAAGAACAGGGAAGAGCAATAAAAATACAATTAGAACATAATTGCTTAAAAAGGGACCAAATTGAGATGGTTTAAGCTTTAGTATACTTCGAAGATCATCTAAAAATATGCATTAGTGCTAGAAAAATGGAGGCTATAATTCAATATATTAAGAAATATTATATGTAAGTGATTTGCATAATGGGTTTATGAATTATAATATCTATTCTTAATTTTTCTATTGGGTCAGATTGCTATGAATGCATTGCATGTTTTAAGTGAATATGTAACTGCATGTTTTAATGGAGTTTGCACAGGTACACTCTTTATGTATTTTTAAATAATTTCTTAAAATTAAAAATTGTGACCAGCAGGATACAGATTAATCAAAGTCCTCTTCTTCAGGCACTTTGTGGGTTGCAAGGGAGAGTTGTCATCTTATGGCAGCATTGCATACACAGGAAAGATCTAATTGGAGTGAAACCGGAACTCACCCTCATCCAAATTTCAGACACAGGGCCCCTGATCTAAACCAGGACCACAGAGGGGAGCGAAAGCTCCTTTCCACTATGCCTGGGTCCTGATCTGGCATCAAATGGAAAAATCTTGCAGAAATCTTGCAGACCACCACCAGAAGGTAGGAACACACCACCTGACTTTCTTGCCTGCCTGAGGCCGGGTGCTTCTTTGCCAGCAAAGAAAAATACCACCACCACCCCACTTGGTCTAGGTTGGTGGTGTGGGGAGAAGAGCAATTAAGAGTTAAAAGGTTCTTATACATAAGTCCTGCCCCTCAACTACTTCAGAACTAGATACAGGGTGAGGTGTGTGGTCCCCAGGTTAGCCCAGGGTGAGTTGCCCTGGATCAGGACCCCTGGATCAAAGCCATAGGATGGATGGGAAGGTGCTGGGCGCCAACCCCTACTTTATATGCTCACATGAAAGTCTTATCCAATTTTCTTTTGCACTTCTAACTATAAAAAATTCCCCTTTAGACACCCCCCCAATTAGCACATAAATTAAATATGTAAGGGAAAGCACAGCCATTCTCCCTTTCAACCTATATGATGTCCACAGTGTGCTCAGGGATCCCAGAGGATTTGACAAGAAGACATGATGAAAATAGGCAACTCTTACCGGCAACAATCAATACTGTTAGCAACCTGTCCCCATTCTCTTATCAGTTTTGTCCCTTGGCTCATCAAGACTCCCAAGGAAAGGATATAGATTTCACCTTCTTCTCCAACTAAGATTTCAGAGAGACTGAAGCTGCAAAATGCGGATTGGTTCCGGCCAACCGCTATGCTATTCACCTCCTCAATAATCTGGAATCAATAGAGTAAGAGCATTTCTAAAAATATTCCTGACTGGAAAAGAGCAAGGTAGAGCCTGGCTCCAAAATGTAAGGAGATCCGCTTTGTGGAGGATATAGATTAACTGAGCCAGGCTCTGTCCGTGCTTTTGAGAAGTCCCTATCTTGATCAGGAAGAAATGTGAACTTTTGAGGAAATTGTATTTTGCCTGTGATACATAGGCATGGAGAGTTGCTGCTCGTCTTCCTGGACGAGGAAATAAGAAGGAAACTCTGGCATCTCTCACCCCATGTGCTTACCACTTATATAGATTGTTGTTGTTGTTGTTGTTGTTGTTGTTGTTGTTGTTGTATTTGTACCCCATCCATCTGACTGGATTGCCTCAGCCGTTCTGGGCCGTTTCCGACATATATAAAAACATAATAAAACATTGCACATTAAAAGGTTTCTCTATACCATATTAAAAGGCCTTCAGATGTCTTCTAAGAATAATATAGATACTCATTTCCTTGCCATCTGATGGGAGGGTGTTCTGGACCTCAGTGTCCGTAAATCATGTTTATTAACGCTGAAGTTAAAATAACATGATTCCTCCCCTCTCTTTCTGTATATCTATCTATCTCCTCAGAGGCAGCATGCCTCTCAATACCAGTCACTGGGGAATATCACTGAGTGTGGGCCCACTTGTCTTGCTTTTGAGCATCTCCTAGGCGTTTTGGTAGGTCTCCCTGTGGGAGACAACAGAAAGGCCTTTGGCCAGATTCAGTGGGGCTCTTCTTTTTATCTTAAGATAAACTGATTTCCCCCTTCAGGATATGCAAAGTACTGAGGTTTGCAATGTGTACATTTATTTAAATGAAATCAATTAATTCATCCATTAATCAGTTAAAAGCCAATTAATTAATTACTGAAGCATTTCCATTTCATGGCCCCATTTAGGCTTCGCAAACAGAATTCTAGCCACAGTCCTTCAAAACGACATGACATTCACTTCCCCCAAGAGAAGGCAACTTTCCACAGATCTCCTCAGAAAGGGCAGGGGATTTGCTGTACCTTTAGGTAAAGAAGGGGGAAGGAAAGAAAGCTCTCTGTGGGGAAATTGACAATTTTCAATTATTTGCTTGGCTTGATAAAATCCACTGCAAACAGAGCTGAATAATGAGAAAACAGAAGATAAAAGACTGTGTCTCTGTGTGTGTATGTGTGTACACACACACACACACACAGTCTTTTATATTCTGTGTTTTCTCATATATATTCTCATATATATTCTCTCTCTGTGTGTATATATATATTCAAATGCAAGATAAATTCGCAGTGGACCCACACTGCCAGCACATTGCTTCGATTAATGTCTTTACCTTTACATTGCCCACCCCCTTAATTTATCTGCAGGAGAAAGAGCCCCACTTAGGATTCAATTAGATAGAAACTCACTCTATCTTCTGCACAATGAAAAGCAGCACAAATTGAACATTTCATAGCTACAGAGCAGAGCATGCAGACTCATCGTGCTGGGCTGGTTTGTAAAAAAAAAGTGATGGAAAGGGGATCCCTGCCCCAACCCAACTTCTACTCCAAAACAGCTGGTGACTTCCATGACTGGAAGGTGGGCACATGCCAGGCTGGCAGATGAGAGAGGGGAATGCATAGTAGATTCCATGCAACTCCTCCCACGGAGTCCCATTTAACTCCTCCCGTGCTGTTCTGGAGGATCCCCCAATACTCTGGAGCAGATTTGGGGGCACAACATTCTTATATATTAGAAGAAGAAGAAGAAGAAGAAGAAGAAGAAGAAGAAGAAGAAGAAGAAGAAGAAGAGTTTGGATTTGATATCCCGCCTTTCACTCCCTTTAAGGAGTCTCAAAGCGGCTAACATTCTCCTTTCCCTTCCTCCCCCACAACAAACACTCTGTGAGGTGAGTGGGGCTGAGAGACTTCAGAGAAGTGTGACTAGCCCAAGGTCACCCAGCAGCTGCAAGTGGAGGAGCGGAGACGCGAACCCGGTTCCCCAGATTATGAGACTACCGCTCTTAACCACTACACCACACTGGCTCTCCATATTTTTATTGAGTTTTACATAACATATTTCAGTTTAAACATATCGTTCGCCTTCACATTTAGGATTCTCAGAATCCCTAGACTTCCCACCACCCTTCTCTGGTTTTCAATGTCAATCCCTTTTTCTTTCAGCTTATCCATTTTTTAGCTAATTTGCTAACAGTATTATTACCTATCTCCATTGTGTTTTGTACGTTACAAGTATTAGTCTAATCCTGACAAAGTTTTTAGTTGTTTACAGTGTCCTCTTAAATAAATTATAAAATTTTCCCATTCTTTCTTAAACTTCTTCTCATCCTCGTCTCTGATTCTTCCGGTCAATTTTTCCATTTCGGCGTAGTCCATCATCTTCATCAGCCATTCTTCTCTGGTTGGAACTTTATCTTCTTTCCATCTCTGGGCCAATAATATTCTTGCTGCTGTCATCGCATACATGAATAATCTTTTCTGCTCTTTCGGAATCTCTGTACCTAAAATGCCTAACAAAAAAGCCTCTGGTTTTCTCACAAATGTTCTTTTAAACATTTTCTTTAGTTCGTTATATATCATTTCCCAGAATGCTTAAGTTATCTTGCACGTCCACCACATATGGTAAAACATGCCTTCTTTTTCTTTACATTTTCAACATACATTAGAAGCAGTTCTATACATTTTAGCTAATTTTACTGGTGTTAAATACCATCTGTACATCATTTTCATATAGTTTTCCTTCAATGAACAGCACACTGTAAATTTTAGATCTTCCTTCCATAATCTTTCCCAAGACAAAAGTTGAATATTATGCCCAATATCTTGTGGGGCACAACATTCTTAATACGTAATAAGACTAAAATTGAACCTGGGAATAGCAACAGTCACTTTTTCAAATGTGGGGATTTTTTACTTTGCGATTTTTCACAACAGATGTTCTAAACTTTCAAGAGAAAGGACTCAGCTTTCTTTCCAAAGTTTGTATAGCTCTGAGCTTCTGAACATTTGGGTCAGGTAATGAAATTCTGCTTCTGTAGCTTTACAGTTTATTGAATACCTAGTTGTCTTTACCATAAGTCTTTTAGCAGATATTTTGGAGTCTCCAGTCTTCTTCTAGCAAAGCACCTTGAGAGATGCCTCTTCTTCCCTCCCCATCTTGATCTCCCCCCCCCTTTTAACAGAAACTAGCAGGCATATTTGTCTAGATACATCCAGGCTTCCAAAGAAAGCATTGCTAACCACAGGATTTGAGATCCTGAGGAATAATGAAAGATCTCGCAGTGTTAGAAGGGTAAGTAGAGCAATGACAGGTGTGAAGTACAAAGTTGTGCTTAGTGGAAAATATGTGAAACGGTCTATTTTCTTCTAAATTAACTACCATTACCACTCAAAAGCAGGTGTTGGAATTATGGATACTTCCATGGAAACATCAGTATAATAAGCTGTCAAAAACAGATGGAATGTCAGGGAGATAAAGGAAGTAGAAAAAGAAAACAACATTTTTAAAAAAGGCACCATTATAGAAATCCATGGCGAATTCACCACTTGAGTCCTGGCCATCAGGAAGACAACTTCATGTTTAGCTCCCTCTCCATATAGTTTGCATTTCTAGCTGTTATGGACAGTCAGGTTTGGAATTGGATGCAAAACCACCGTGGTTGGGAGTAGCTGTATGCTTAGTTTATTAAAACCACAAGGCCAGGGAAAACAGTGCGAATATTATATTTGTTCCGCATGAGAAATCCAGCACTCACACTTCTGAAATTTCCCCGTTTTTGGACTGGCTTTTAGGCATTGATGAGGGTTTCTATTTTCCACTGCTCTGAAAAGTATAATTTATAGCTTCCATTAGAAGTGCCAAGAAATGCTGCCAGCTTTCCAGCTTTTTGCTTCATTCCTCCTACCTGAAGGCCAGAAGCCACAAGCTGAACGACTGTGCAATGTCTTTTCAAACACATGCTGCAGCCATATTGGTCTGGTCATATTAACTGCAATCAGAGCATCTCATGAAAGACTCTAACAGAGAAGTAAGCTGACAATTCAGCCATAGGATGATGGCAGATTTCTAAAAGGTTTCTTCCCAGACTTCCCCATCTTCTTCCAGCTCATCTCTTCAACTCCCTTGACAGACTCCCAGTTCACATCCCTTACAGCAGGATCTGGAATGACCCTCCAGATGTCGCTGAACTACAACTCCCACAAGACCCTGCAGTTTTGTTCAATAGCCAGGGATGGTGGGAGTTGTAGTTCAGCAACCTCTGGAGGGTCAAAGGTCACTCACATAAGGAACCACCATGGCAGCTTTCCGATTCTTCAAAAGCTCCGTGCTGCATCATACACATTTTTCCCACACAATAGCCTCCATTGAAGCCCAGTTGAAAAACATATTCCACTCACACTCAGAAGCTGGTCCATGCCAGGATCTGGCAACTGTAGTGCTGAAAGGAACCACAATGTTTTGCCAGCTCACGTGCTTCATCTCACAGAGGACCATAGGAAAGGAGCTCCTACACCACTCTAGTAATCTGCTTCTCAGCTTGAAAATGATTAGGCATTTGGTTTCTCAATTCATTCCTATTTGGGGATTTGACTTCTCAAGGTCAGGGGTGAGGAACCTCAGGTATGGGAACTTTAAGCAGCCAACTGGGCCACTCTGTCCAGCCCTTGGGACCCCTCACCCCAGCTCTGCGGCAGCCTTGAAGTGTGGTGATGCTTCTTGCTCGCCTGGCTGGATGATGAAGAGAAGAGGGGGAGGGCATGTAGAGGAAACCTCTGGTTTTTGCATGCGTGGAATGCAGCCTACTGTACAAAGGGGAGAGTCACATCTGTTGCTCAGCCCACTTTCTCCTTTGGCTCCACCAACTACTGAAATGAAAGGCCCTCCAGAAAGTTGACCATGATGGAACACTTAAGAGGCTTTGCAGCATCGGTAGCTGATACCCCTTTTGCCCTGATGGTTAAGGCTTCCTTCACAAAATTGGCAAACCAGATGGGAGTTGTCTCTCTGTGGAGTTGTGGGGTGTTTGTAGCAGGGTTGCTGGAGGTTGATAGCATGGATCTTGGCCAGCTCATCAGCATCAGGGTACTAGCTGGGTGGGAAAAACTCATGAGATCAGCCCTGTCAACATGGGTGCAGCTTTCACAGACACCAGAGTCACGTGGGAGAGAAGCACAGACAGGCAGCTTCAATGCTGCATGGCAATTGTAAATGTGTTGTGGTGCCTCAAGATCAGGAGCACTGCTAATACCAACTGAAGATTTGTCTGTTCATCCCTGCTCATAATGTGAAAGTCCAAAACAAGGAGACTTAGTGTTCTGGCACCATCCTTAGGTTCAGAGTTGGAGGAGGAGGAGCCAGCAGGTCTGGGGTTGCTGTACCGCCAGCTGGACCAGGTTCCTGATGCTGAGTCTGACGCTGGTGGTCCCAGAATCCATGGAACTTGTGACTCATTCTGAGACTCTCACAGAGGCTGTCAGCCAAGTCTGACTTGCTGGTGGAATCTAATGGCTTCTGCACTATCATGTTTGCCTATCAACACAGGGAGTGCAACAGGCAGGATCAGGAGTGCCAACTTGGCCCCGTGACTATGGATGCCCGGGGCCATGGGTGCCAAGCAGCATGCATGGCCCTGGCACTGAAACTTGTGGGTGCCTGGCCTCTTCCTGGAGAATTTTGTGGGTGCTTGGGTACCCAGGGCCCCAGGGAGTTGGCACCTATGGGCAGGATGGCACAGAAAGGCAAAGAATCACTCCCCTTCAGGTCAGAGGGTTGACTCTTTAAGACCATGGGGGGTGAAGCTCAGGAAAAGCAAACTAGAGGAAGGCCTTCATTCACATCCAACCATTGAAGGAGCAAGTTGCCCAGGATGCTGCCTTTCTCTCGTAGATACTTAATGCATTTGAGTCGGAACACTTTGGTCTTCTGCTTTTGAGAAAAAGAAAAATCAACAAGCTAGGTAAGATATTCTGAAATGTTTAGTCACCGTGATAACATTTTGAAAGGTGTGTTAAAAGACACAGTGAGATGGTGCGTATAATTTCTTTTTTAGCAGACAAAGGCCCCTTTTCCTTGTAAGTTCTTAAAAGCCTGTCATGCTTCTGGTAATTAATTTTCCATGTGTTAACTAACCTGCAGAGGTGCTGAACTCTCCGAGTAGCTCTGCTTTCATCCTGAAAGCTCCCCTTGTTTATCTGAATTGCTGGTAATGTTC